TCCGTCGTGCTGAGGCCCTTGTTTCCAAGCCTAAATGTCACCACAACAGACCTATCCTCATACTTACCTACCACTCTCACAACATGCGTGCCAACAATATTCTCCTCAGGCATCTCTCTATCCTTAGGGCTGACCATGCCACCAGCACTATTTTCTCTCAGCTTCCTCCAGTGGCATACAGACATGACCGTAACCTCAAGGACATTCTAGTTAAGAGTTGGTTACGTCCTGCATCTGAGTCCCACTTTATCATGGTCTCTTGCCACAGACCTGTATGCAGGACCTGTCCATATGTTGTTCTGTGGACAGGTCTGGAAATCCCGAATGCCACCTTCCATATACACGAAGCATTTTATTGCTTGAGCCGCAATGTCATTTACGCCATCAACTGCAAGAGATGTGGCATGAAATAATAGGTGAAACGGGTCTACGACCGGTTGACAGGTTCAAGCAACATCTTTTCAATGTGTGGAACGGTGCCCTGAAACCAGTTCTGTTGCACTTTTACTCCCAGGATCACCAAGGTATCCACAATATAGAGGTAACAGCCAATAAATCTAGCCACTCCCGCAACAAATCCCTTGAAAATCGCTTTTTTTAAACTTTGGAACCTTAACACTCAGGGGATTGAACTGTCAACACAGCTTCATCTAAACATTTTGAGTTATACCCCTTGGCATTCGCGGGCGATATATATTCTCGGGCCCGTGTGTCTCTTCGCCCACCCTTCCCGTTCCAGGCCACCCCTTGCAAAAATTGTAGCCCTTTTTAGGGCTGACAAGTACACTCCCAAAAACCTGGAAACCAACTGTCAAGTCTGACCGAGCTGACATGATGCAGCAGCAAATACCCTAACTAAGGCGAAAATTATCGCCACACAGAAACGAATTCAATGAAATAGCAAAGAAACTGTCCTCGATAAAGCAAGCCTTCGGGCAGCTGAAAGAGGACAAAGTTTGACATTTTTGTTGGGTTTCTCGATTACGATTACGTCTCTTCATTCCACACGACATCATAATGGCTGTTTTGAGGTACGTCAGTTAAGTGATTTTGTGTATTCGTCGGGTTTTGTTTAGTTGATGAAGGCTGTATAGCCCCAACGTTCACGTTTCGCTTGTGTGTTATATTGTGAAGCTCGCTGATCTACTTTTCGTTTAGTTTTAAATCTTTCCATTATATTTCTTTTCTCTACCGCTTTCATTGCCAGATTTTGAAGAGGCACTTTGTGTTAGCGAGGTGGAAACTGATATTCACAGGCTTGTAATTCTTCAGTTATTGGTGTAGCCAGTCAAGATGTATGGAGGTGGATCATGGACAAACAGCCGGTTAGGGAAAAATTATGCAAAAACTGATGAGAAGGGGTTTTATACTACTAGTTCTTTGTTAAGCTGCCTCGTTTGTCCATTTGGGATTTGTGCCAGGTTCTGAATTTTGCGTGTACATCCGTTTTGCTGGCTTGCTAGTGTGCAGTTGATTGTTTCTTGCCTTTTGAACAAACGCACTCCGACTTACAAGAAAGTCCCCAATTAGTCGACTCCTACGACATGCTTTTTGGGGTCTATTCTTGTTTTCCCCCACAATGGGACTCCAGAACCCTCTCGGGAATCGGGTTTTATAGAAGAGTGGTAGGCGCAACGTGGACAAATAACAAGCGCTGTGAAGATCTCTTGAGAGCAGCTAACTCACAAAGGAACTTGTCATCCTCGTGGATCAGGTCTTTTACACAACATCGATGTCATCCCAGCCTCTGCTGAGAAATAAAAGGTCACCTGTCTATTGCGCTTTCCTGCCCAGCTGTATCTTGTGCTCATCATCATCGTTTAACTCCTGTGTTTGTATGGGCATCGTGTGACAGTTTTAACAATGTGTTTTTATTCTGTTGGAGCTCATGTGAATCGCCCGGATGACTGGAGTGGATCAGGAGTTGAACTACGCAATTCTGTCAGTGGGATTTCTAGAAATGACTTGTTTATAGAAAATGTAGAAGGGAAGGCCAGAAGACGACTTCCTCTTCCTTCACCAGCTGTGAATTCCGGCGGAAGGTCCCGGTTAATCGTCCGCTTGGACTTTTGGCTTTTACCTGGACCTGAGTTTTGCGCGCACAACGCTTTTGTTGTTCCCTGCCTCATGGGCAGCTGTACTCCGACTTCGAAGGAAGACGTTAGGCCTATTTCTAGGATGACTGTGGCCATTGTTTTGTGTGGGTCAAGACGTTGCCTGATTTGTGTGGTGTCCACTTTGTCTCCTTCTCCGCAGGTATTGCCCCCGGAGTACCCCTCTGGGGCAGCCCCCTGCGGAACGGTTGGCCCATAAGGGAAGGCAGGGGCAGATCATGGGCATTCCCCGCCATGCAAGGAGGCTTCCATGTATGCAGAGCCGGCACATGGCGCTCTGGTTCTGGGCTCACCCAAGAAATCGTCACGTCCTGCACATGACTGCTTAACCTCACAACCGGATCAGGCCTCCCGCTTGACAAGGGCTGCGCCCTCTGGAAGTCAGCGGGGAGCAGCCCGCGAATTCTGGACTTTTGTGACCACCCAAATAGGTACATTCTTTTTCTTCGCACGTTAGGTATCTTTGACGAGCCGTTAGCACGACAAGATTTAACATCCTGCGTCTGGCATATCGTTATCTGTTTGGTCCCAACACTCGGGCGAGTGGGGTCTTTGGGTGTGGACATTTGGACTTTTTCCGTTCAATACGATTTGTGATGGTCAGATTTTTAGCTTGCTCGTGTCTCGTAGGTTCTAGTTTTGTTGGACATTTAGGCTTGGCCAGCCTATGGATGGTTGCTGTCTTGGTGTACCTCAGCGCGGTGACGACAAGACTGAGGGTTAACAGAGGATGTACATGGGTAGAATCTTGCTGCGAGACGCCACCCACAGGAGAAGTTACTCGTCTGTGCTGCGGGTAAATCTCTAGGTCAAGGGTTGAGTCTTAGCAGAACAATGTTCTCTTCACTCCCCAAACTTTTAACCAAGGGTTGTGATTTTAGCTGTACGTTTGGCATGCACTTTACTCATGTTCCTAATGAGTTTTGATAACCTTTTTCACCCATGCGTTTGGGGGCGGGCTGATGAGAGCCACAAGGACACATCACCTCTGGGGGCCACCAAACTCCGAGATCCCCTGACAGCTCTGTTAATGCTCATTTGAGACATTATCCGTGGCGCACGACGAGGACGTGCTGCAGGGGTCTTGCGTGAGGTTCCGTACAACCAGAACAGTGAAGGACTGGCGCCCGAGTGACGTACGGAGCATCTCCTTATACACATCATGTTGGACTTAACTTTCCCTCACGCCTGTGACATAAATCACCGACTATTGGTACTTAGAAAACTGGCAGGTACAAGTTAGTAAGCGAATGTAAAAACCCTAAAGGAAGGTAATAATGGATCAAAAAGACCCCACCCGAAGTTTGGTGCAACAGCTCGGTCATCAGCTGCTAGTTCCTGTCTACAATCGTTACACAGAGTACAAAATCGAGCCCTTAGACTCATCACAGGATCCATAAAAACTGCACCAATCGAGATGCAAAAAATAACTGCAATGCAGACGTTGTCCTATATAAGAAACATTAAAACTATGATCCAGATGGAGAAGTGTAATAGTACGCAGTCACACCCAATGAATACAGATTAGATGATCTGGCATTGGGCGTCTTGAACGTAGCAGATTTGTCCAATGGGGGAAAAGTCTTAGAAGACAGTATCAAGCAGATCTTCCCATGAGAATAACACCGCTGAAACTTACCCTATACCCTGTACCTTGGGAGCAAGTCAGTGATACAATACAGATAATGCCTTCAGTAGGTGGACTTACAGCTGGAGATGAGTCCAATGACCTTGAAAAACGAACAGCTGCTTTTAGGATGATTTAAGAGAAGTATTCCGAACAGTCGTGACATGCTTATACACATGGATCAGCAACCAGTGCAGTTAAAAATAGGGGGTGGGGGTGCTGGCGTCTTTGTCACATACCCAGATAACCACCACCACAAAGTATATATCCACTGGTAAATTCTGTTCCAGCCACACAGCAGAGATACTAGCACTAGAGCAGGCTGTTGATGTTACACAACACCAGTTTTGATGCCACCAAGTGGTCATATTCACAGATGCACTATCAGTGCTTCAAGCTCTCAAGAGTGGTAAGCTCCCTCATTTGAGATCTGAACTAGACAAGGTGGCTGCCTAAAAGTTTAATGTACTCCAATGAGTGCCATCCCACTGTGGTATACCAGGAAACGAAACCGCAGATAAATTTGCTAAGAAAGGGACAGAATGTGAACAGGAAGAGAATGCGGTAACATACTATGAAAAGAAAAATGCCGTCCAGTCTACCGGAAGTAAACAGAGTCTGACCAGAGATAACTACCACTTGACCGACACGGGCAGGTCATTATTCTACGCCTCAGGACAGGACATAACAAACTTAACAAGCGCATGCACAAGCTTCGTCTAAGTAGTTCACCATTGTGCCTTTGTGGGCTGTGTGTGCAGACTACAGAATAAGTCCTGCAAAAATGTCTCTTGTACAGCCCAATATGAAGAGAATACTGACCCACTGATCAACACTGTACTCAAAGTTCAAACTTAAAAGTTGTATGGAACTAAAAAGGAACTCCAAGAACAGTCAATTTTATCACAAGAACGTGTCGGTCGGTGTAAATCAGAAAGCGAACACAAGAAGAAGAAGAAGGTCTTCAGCGTGTATAGTCTCTCATGTAGAAGCATAGGATTAAAAGTTAGCCCACTGTGTGTTTGCTGATAAACCGGACAATGTATATCTGGTGAACCTTTTTTTTTTCTCTCCATAACTGTTTGTATGTTTCCAATGGCAACGTCCGCTGACTAATAATGCGTTTCACGCGAGAGTTAACGTCACCTCCGCCAGCCGCCATATGCAATATCTTGATTGTCGGTAGGTGACGATGTCTGCAGTTGTAGTGAAGTGAACAAATCCAACAACATCTAGATAGATAGGGCACTTCTACGACCATGAATCATTTTCCAGCGCAAATTGCGTTTGATGAATATGGTCGTCAGTTTATTATTTTACGTGATCAAGAGAAACAGTCGCGATTGACTGGAATAGAGGCTCACAAGGTATGTAGAATTGAAACCGGCTTGGTTCCGTTTTTGTGTGTGTGTGCCTATGAAGTTTTTTTTATAGCTGGGAAAACAACCACGGGGATATTTATTATTGTAATGAATGATGTGAAACGGCGTTTATCTTTTGCGTAGTAAAATAATCACTTCTTTTATGAAAGAAAAAGTGAAAATCTAAGACCGTTTTGAATATGTAAAATTGTCATCATCATTCATGCATGCATGCTTCTTGTGTGTTCCTTGTTATTCAGTTATTCTAATTGAAATTGATTTGCGGGGTATGTTTCATTCATTGTCGTAGGTGTACATTTAAGATAATTTATACAACTTTATGTAAAATTCATATTGATGAATTGAATTTGGTTACTACTAGTTCAGTATTCATTGTTTGAATTGAGGATCTCATGGTATCTGGATAAGAACATTCTGGAAAGATGCTGTGACGCAGAAAAACTAGGACACAATGAACCTGTAGTAAGTCAAGTCGATTTATGAAATGTTTTTAAATATGTAATACTAATTGTATCTCAGTGAGAAAATGACAGGTTCTAGAGAATAGTAAGACTAACAATTACAAATGTGTAAAAGAACAAAAGGAGCACACATAAAAAGTAAAAGATGGAAGCACTTGTAAAAATCGCATTGAGTTGAGTGGTCTGCTAGTGGCCAGACATGAGATGACAGCTGAAGGTTCACTGACTTGCAACAAACCACCATTGTGTAGAGACATTCACTGAGAAAGTAAAAGGATGATGATTATTATTGGTTTAATACAACAAAAAGCAAAAAGATTATGCAAAACTTGTTAAAAGTATCATTCATTATTGATCAGTACTTCCAACACGGACACCACTGTGTCACTTGTTTCCCTCTATCAGCTATCTATCTCATCTTTCCTGTTTACTTTGTTTGCTCATTTCAGTCTCCAAATTAATTGTTTATATTTTGTTTTGATAAAATTTAAGATATTCTGAGACAGCTTCTCAGACTTTTCAAAAATTATTAAATTGATAAATTGTTTTAAAAAAAATAGATGTGACAAATTGAAATCCAGTTGTGCCTCCTAATCTTTTCTCCCAGTTATCTCATGTTCACCTGGGTGTTCATCATCTCATCCACTTCTGGACTTGTCTTGTTTCAAAACCGGAGAAATAAGTGCACATTTCTTAAACAGATCTGGCTTTTTTAAAGTTTGCAGACTCTGGGTTCCGTGCCTTTCAGGTAGATGTACTCAAACTTCGGGGAAGGTTAAAGGCAATTATCTCCTGCAGCATGACTGTGGGGAAGACATTGTGTGTCTGTTCTTGTTTTTCCCTACAATAATAAGACTTTGGGACCCACATTGGGATCTCAGTTATCAACAGTCAACAGCAGAGATTAAGTTTGGGGCATTTTTTTAATCAAAGCTTTATGGTAAAACAGATTAAGGCATGTGATTGCTGGCCTGCAAATGTATGTGAAAGCCCATGTTCACATTTTTTAATGTTTAACTGGAATTACACCCAAGGCTACCCCCAATATATACTCTGAATATTTGAAATATTGCAGTAGCTTCTGTTATGGTCCTCTGTGATGAATGAAACATTTGGTGAAAATGCATAGGTAGAATAAGATTGTAAATAAAGCCAGAACGGGGTTTGCCCATGATAGTGCCCCCCCCCCCCCCCCCCCCCCCTTTTTTTTTTTCTTAAACCACCATACCACCCTTCTTGGAGGTTTCTCCATTAAATTCATCTTTCTTTCGATATGACCATCTTTTACGCCCACTGAGAAATATCAGTTCAGTCCTTTCGACAAAACCATATTTATTAATCTTTGGAGGAAAATAACTTCTTTTGTCCATACTTTAAGGACTATGTATTGTGACAGCATTTTTCTTACATTAAAGTGTTTTTGAAGATTAGGGTGTCTACTGCAGAGTTGGTACTGAAAATGAATACATGCTGGCCATTGAAATGTGAAAAGTAATACAATCTGGAAATAAAGTAAACTATGCCCTTCAACATCTCTGAAACTTGAAGCACAACTAAAAGGGATGCAGACTTATTACAGGTTTTTGAAAACGAGTTTTACAACTCATCTTTTTACCTATCAAAGATGTAAACAGCGGGGAATAGAGAGTGGGGGCAGTAACGAAATACATTATTTGTTAAAATCACCATTGATCATTGGCATCATGAGAGCTTATAGACTGAAATGGTTGGGGCATTTGGAGAGAATGACAGAAGTAAAAACTGTATACACAAGGGAGATGAATGGCCATAGAACACGAGGCAGATCAAGAAGACGATGGAGAGATTATGTCCAGAGAGACCTGCAGACACTTGGTGTTACCAACTGAAAAGAGAAGGCCAACCAGAGAGATAAGTGGAGGTGGTTGACATCTGCAGCAGTGAACCTCAAGGGCTCGGAATTCTGAAGGGGGGGGGGGGGGATTGAATTATGTAGGTAGCCACATTGGCCGTTTCTAGTACTGTTTCAGAAGTTTAATGCATTGTTTTGTTCCTTTCACAGTCCCATATTCTTGCCGCCAAATCTGTTTCCAATGTGATTAAAACATCTTTGGGGCCTAAGGGCCTGGACAAGATGATGGTTGGGCCTGATGGTGATGTGACCATTACCAATGATGGAGCCACCATCCTGGACCTCATGGATGTTGAGCACCAGGTGGCTCGACTGATGGTCCAGTTGTCCAAGTCACAGGATGATGAGATTGGTGATGGGACCACTGGTGTTGTGGGTAAGTTTACAAACTCATAATATTTTCAACTATGACTTTCAGAGACCGGTTTTCTTTAAAGACAGAAATTTTATTAGGGGAACACTTCCTGTTTGTTTTCCGGAGCTCCATTTTGGGGGAAACAACCACTGCCTTTCCAACAAGCGTGTGATAGAAGTCAACTAATTGTTGAATACATCTGCCTGAGAATCAGGAGACCACAAGTCTGCATACAAATAAGCCAGATCTATGAAATGGATGTGCATGCTACACTCAGGTTCTGCAGGAAGGCTAAAGTCAGGAGGTGGACGAACACCAAGAGCTTTCCGCCAGAGTTTACAGCCGGTAAACAGGTGAAATCAGAAGATTCGGGGAAAACAATGTGGATCTTGTCAGATGGGCTAGTGCCACTGTAAAATCCCAATGGAACATTATTATTGTTCATCTGGTTTTGGACTTTGCCCTGTTACAGAACATGACTTTTGTACACATATCCGTTTTATGCAGGCTGTTGGTTCCTCACCTCTCAGATAGCTGCACTATGACTTCGAAAGAAATGCCCCTAATAAATTAGATGCTTTTTTTTATGGGGCTTCGGAACCCACACAGGGATAGGGCAGATATGCTACACCAGGGCTTTTCAATTCAGTTTACCCAAGGGGTCACAATTTAAATAATGGGGGATGTCACAGACCAGAGGCTGGAGTCCCAGTATAGAAAGATCATCAGTACAGTACAACTGGTGGTGATGCCGGCCACGTGCTATGCCTCCGCAGGCCGCTTGTTGAATAGCCTTGTGCTACACTATCCCAATCTCAGCTGTTTGGTAATTAATGGATTATAACTTTGCACTATCTGTTTCTCAGCAGCTAGTTTCCCAAGTCGGTTCTGATGACACATCCTAGGGAGCACGGAAAAGATTAATTGCCTCACAACAGGCCTGTTATTAAATCTCTAAATAAGTTTGTTTGGAATTGGATATGTTGAAGCAGAAGGCACAGATATCACAGTCTAGCTGGTAGCCGCAACACAACCTACCAACCACCCTTTTAAGGGCAAATGCAGAAAAAATAATCTCTTAGCCATTTCAGGTTTCAGTGAACAGTATCTAAAACGATCGCCAGCAGTTGTTTTATTTCAAGGGTCACCTGGGAAACTGTAGGGGTCATACACGACAAGTGTATTATAGACTGACTCTAATTCCAAGTGAATAAGCCCAAATAAACATGTTAAGAGTAGATAGCTCAACATCTTTGTAATCAGATTTGCTATTGACTCACATGCATCTGACATAGTAGTTTCTTCTTGTTGTGTACACATAAAATATCCAATAAAAACTTGCTAGCCAGGAGTACAATGTAGAGAAAGTACACTGTATGTGGGGAATGTCAGGATTTAAACCAAAATGTCTTGGCAAGGAGATGCTGAAGATCTGTAATGGTAAATATTTTAATTTAGTCACTTCATTTTGTCTCTGCAGTTCTGGCTGGCGCTCTCCTGGAACAGGCGGAGAAGCTGCTTGACCGTGGCATTCACCCTATCCGCATCTCTGATGGTTATGAAATGGCCGCCAAGATTGCTGTAGAAAAACTGGACCAAATCAGCGAACCTTTCCAGGTTGATCTGACTGAACGTGAACCTCTAATTCAGCTGGCCATGACCACACTTGGCTCTAAAATGTAAGTTTCTGGAATGTGAAAGTAATGTTTCTGAGAGTATCAGTAACTACAGTAGTGTAGTGATTTGTACACTGGCCAGTCACCCTGGTAATTCAGGGTTTCAATTCCAGAGGTTAACATTTTTACTCCTGTGGTTATGGGGCAGAGAGCACACCATACGTTCATTAGTTGCTCTTTAAATGGTACACATTCCTTAATTTTTCCTATTCAATTCTTTAGTTTAATGCAGTAGATTTTAATTGTTACTCGAACACCTTTCCCGAAGCTAGGTTTTTCAGCTCAATGAGATTAAATTATTCTTGCGCTAGAATTCAAAAACTTTTCATATACTTTAATTTGAAAACTTACTTCTTCTTTTCACCTGTCTGAATGACGTAAATGTGCTGTGCTTGTTTACAGCAAAGCTGCGATATTTGCTCCCTGCCGATGACACACCCAGCCTTTTCGAGCATTTGTTGACCGGACTAATTTCCTAGAAAGTTTCATGGGACAGGTTCATGTTTTGGCCTTATTTGTGTGTTCTCTTTGTCCCTTTATCTACAGATGTTGTCCCTGGACACCCTATCTGGGGCATCCATGTGTAGATAGGTTGGTCGTCAAGGAAAGGCGGGGGCAGATCATGGGCATTCCCCACCATCCAAGGCAGCTACCATAAATGCAGAGCCAAGGAATTAAATCTAGTATTTCATGTATTTTTGTGTTTTGGGGCCAAATTAACTGAAATTCTTGATAGAACCACTGACACCGTATGGTTGTAGATATGTAGTCTACCACTCTGACTATAGTTTCTATACAATTTCTATTGCTTTTTCTGTTACACACATCAGTACGCGTACAGCAAGCATTTTAAAATTCTATTTTTGGCATCTCTTACTATCAGGAAAGTAGCTCTATGATGCATGTGAGCATATCTGGAGTCATCCTTTTATGACCTCCAGCTATAACACAATGCTACACAGTACATCAGTGGATGTCAACCTCTGTCTGTGGAATTCACAAACCCCCACTGACTCTTGAAATCATCCATACACATTTAGTTACTGCTTTGTTCTAGTTACGCGTACCCTGATCGAAACCCACTGCTGGCTGCGTGCATTTTTATGATGGTATAGAGCGTTGCAGGTTGACCCAGCCTAAAATGGGTATGTCCTGGGAAGTAAAGGGATAATTCTGACCACATTACCCGATTGGTCTGTAAAAATATGGGTGCTCTTCCCATATGACCGATGCGCCTAAAGGGGTGAAAAGGGTTCTTCACTTTTGTTACGCTGGAATCAGGAGATAGCCATAATATATGTTATATATATGTGTAATGTACATCACAATCAGTTTACTTAATGACTTGGTGTCTTGCTCTCTCATATGTGGATATTGCAGCTGTTGTGCTTTTAGTTTTCAATGTATGAATAATAGTGCATGTTTGTATGCTGGTATGTGTGTAGAGTTCATGTTTGTATACTTGTGTGTGTCCTATAACATGTTTTATTATCTATGCCATTACTGCTGCCTGATTTTTACATGCATAATACAGAAAAACTTAGTGGTTATAAGGGCCTTTGAGGGTGAGGTTCATTCCTTTGTTTTCCTTGTTTTGGGATGGGCAGGCATGTGGTGTGTTATGTATGCATCTGGGGTCGTGCTTATGATCATAATGGTACGTGCTGCATTTGGTTATATCTATAGTTTTTTTGTTTTTTTTTTGGATGCAGGCCTGTTGGCTGAGATTTGCATATTTGTGCCAGGTTTGTTGGCTTAGGGTCGGTCTCAGCATGGCTTTATGTGGTGCTCTATGAAGAGAGATTTGGCAGTATAGGATAAAATCACCTCTGACATGACAAGTTCTTCATTGACTCTTCCCTGAATGTTTGCAGTGTGAACAGATGCCACCGCCAGATGGCCGAGATTGCTGTCAATGCCATCATGTCTGTGGCTGACCTGGAGCGCAGGGATGTGGACTTTGAGCTGATCAAGGTCGAAGGCAAAGTGGGAGGCAAACTGGAGGACACCATGCTGGTCAGGGGAGTGGTTGTGGACAAAGATATGAGCCATCCTCAGATGCCTAAAGTAAGCTGTGTATTCATTGATATGTTTAAGAGTTCAGCTTCTTGACATTGCTGTATGTGTAACCTTTTCCCCACAAAACTGCTATTCTTGGCACAAATTTGCTCAGTTTTGAATGTTGTCCGTCCTGTTTTAGGCTGTAAAAGAGAACTGGATTTTGTAGTTTTCAGTGAAAATTATTGACAGAATCTTAACTTGTAGTGAAAACGCAGCCTCCACTAGCTTTTCATACCTCAAGATAAAAGCGTGTAAATGGTTTTTATATTTAAAAAAATTGTTTTAATGGTTGATGCAGAATTAAATATTCATAAGGCAAATTCTAGAATATATTAATTCTCAAATTATCAGTGGTCTTACAATGTAAAGTCTATAATAGATTAAAATGTAATTTTCAGCATGTATTTTTTTTTTTTTTTTTTCAATGTAATAATAAACATAAACATAATTCAAATTTCTGATAACAAAAGAGTACTGTTAAACCTATATTGGAATAAAATGTAATGTTAAACCTGTGATAAAAATACATGGCAATAGACTAGTGATAACAGCACAAAATAGTGACAACAGCAGCAGACTAGTGATAACAGCACAAAATAGTAACAACAGCAGCAAACTAGTGATAACAGCACAAAATAGTAACAACAGCAGCAGACTAGTGATAACAGCACAAAATAGTAACAACAGCAGCAAACTAGTGATAACAGCACAAAATAGTAACAACAGCAGCAGACTAGTGATAACAGCACAAAATAGTGACAACAGCAGCAAACTAGTGATAACAGCACAAAATAGTGACAACAGCAGCAGACGAGTGATAACAATGCTCACTAATACACTGCTTTACGTTTCAGTTCGTGAAGGATGCTCGGATTGCCATCCTGACTTGTCCATTTGAGCCACCCAAGCCTAAAACCAAACACAAGTTGGATGTGACTAGTGTAGAGGACTACCACAAGTTGAGAGACTACGAGAGGGAGAAGTTCGAATCCATGGTTGACTTGGTAAAACATCTCTTGGATTGTTGCACACACTCTTTTTTCCAACCTTATACTTGTTTCTGGCTGCAAGGTTTTGTAGGGATTTGTCTGTAAGGTTTTTGTCTAAATTATAAGAGTTCAGCAGAATCATTCTTGATGTCTTGTAAATTTATGCTGTAAATGTGTCTTCAGATTTTATCAGTAATTGCTTTGTGGTTCTGGGAGCCGTAGTGTAAAAGATAAGTAACAGCGCCAGGGAACGTTTGTTGTGAGGTCTGAGGCTGTTAGTTACTCCTTTGTGATCCAGTTATTCCCTAGCTACCTTTACATTTTCATGCTGCGCTCTGTTGCTTCCGCCATCATGGGATTGATTATCATTTGATGGCCGAAACTTTTCAAAAACATGTCCTAACATATCATTTAAGTATGCTTATAACCCTCCAGATTCATGTTTTGTGACCTGTAAGTTCTTGTTGTAATTTTATTATGGGTTGTTAAACACCCCCCCCCCCCTTTTTTTTTTTTTTTTAATCTGTTTATTGCTACTTCATTTATACTATTAATTTATTTTAGTGTAACTTGTAAGTTTTTCACCATAAAAAGTATACCAGTTTCATTTGCTTTCCAATCATAGTTAAAACAAGCAAATAGAATTTGTTTTATGGCTGGTCTGTTAACCTGGTGCAATTAAAATCACAGGTCAAGAGCACAGGTGCCAATCTGGTGATCTGCCAGTGGGGATTTGACGACGAAGCCAATCATCTCCTGCTGCAGAAGGAGCTGCCTGCAGTCAGATGGGTCGGTGGTCCCGAGATTGAGGTTAGTTTAATTGTGTGTGTTGTGTTAAAAGCATGAGGAATTTCTGGCAGTTTTGTTTTGACTTGTCAGATCAGATAACATGCTATACCATACAGCAGACGTGTCATTGTGGTTTGTTTTTGTTTAAAGCTTGCCTTATACACGTCTGTACAGATTACCATATATGTTCGTTCTTATGTCAACTTTATATGTTTAAGTGTACATATTTTGTGAAATTGTACCATCCATATGTAGACATTAGTTGCCAACCAATCACTTGTTAACACCTCATAAAAATATACTATTCATTCATTTGCAAATGTTCTTATCAATCATTGAGTGACACAGCTCATTCACCATTCTATACACATTGCTGAAAGACACCCATCATTCTGTACACATTGCTGAAAGACACCCATCATTCTGTACACATTGCTGAAAGACACCCATCATTCTGTACACATTGCTAACAGACACCCATCATTGTTCCACATGTCACTGAATGCTATGGGGCATTATTTTTATGTCGTTAAATCCTTCTGTACACGTTGCTGAATGCTGTCCATCATATTTTAAGTGGGAAGCCATATAGTAGTATAGCATGTGGCTTGCTGCCATATATATATATATATATGTATGTATGTATAAATGTGTGTATGAATGTATATATCTATGTATTTGTATATATAAAAGTCTGTCTAGTTATAACAACTCAGCCCTAAAATGAGTGGCTGGGTATGTTATGGAAAACAGCAGCAAACAACATAATTTTATTTTGAGACATCACCATCAGGAGCAGTGTCATGGGACTGGCACATACCTAGTACATCTCAAGCTGCGGGGAAAAATGAGGGGGGGGGGTGTTAATTACTCCAGCTAGAAATGTCTTTTCCGTGTAGATTAACTAGTTATCTGAGCAGATTGACCACATTCAGATAATCTACAGCCATCAGTGTTGAGTATCCCATCAGATTATCAGTAGTATCTCTTGTGAGACCATTCAGTCTTGCATGAGGAATTTCTGAAGGTCCCATGGCCTGCCAGATCAGATACCATGCTAAAGTATATATCTAGCAGATGTGATCCATTGCTTCAAGATTCTTTGTTTTGGAACCTTACTGATCATCTGTCTATACACATTATAATAATATGGCTGCCTGTTTTCTCTCTGATTTATTTAGCAGCATATAAACCTGTGTGTGGTTAATTTGATTATGTTTATATTTTGAATGTGTGTGATAATTATATATTGATGATTCTTGTATATCAGCATGGGTTACCAGGGCCTGCCCATCAGGGGAGCAAAGTATAGGAAGACTATCCCGTAGAAAGCTAGCTGCAATGTCCAGCTTTTATGATTAGAGAGGGGGAACTTTTTTTAGTGATGTTGTTGACTCACTTGTCAACACATAATTAAGAATATAGCATTCAGCTGATTCCACTGTCTATATAGACATCATTGTAAAAGTCCTTACAGCTGTCCACTCATTTATCGTAGAGGTGGGTAGTGTAGAATCTTGCCTTCCTGTCAGCTGTCCAGTGGTTATGTCCTGAAGTCCCCTCAAAGACTTTGACTCAACCCAAAATTGGTTTCTAATCGAGTTCTGGAAAGTAACGACAGACAGCATTATTTTGACCACATCTCCTACCCAGTGCCAGATCAGTGTATAAAACAGGGCTTGCCTTGAACCCAGTGCATCAGAGGGGGGTCCATCTTAGGAGTGTCTTGCCGTACCTGGGTAGATTGACCACATTCTGACAATCTAGAGCCATCATTTGTACCTATCCTATAAAATCATCAAAAGTATCTTGTGTTGGTCTGTCTAATCTTGCATGAGGAATTTCTGAAGGTACCATAGCCTGACAGATCAGATACCATGCTAAAGAATATATCCAGCAGATGTGATGCTTTCAGTTGGTTTGTTTTTCTTCCTGGAGGATTTACCGGTCACATGTCTGTACACATCCCTGCATTTTTGCATTTGTTACATGCCTGCATTATTATTCATCTGTACACTTTGTTGCATCTGCACTCCCCTTATGTCATTCTTCTGTAATTGGCAATGTATGTTTATGATCCCAAGTGTAGTGACGTCAGTTCCTGATTGATTCATTCATTCAGTGGGTTGCACTTGCACTGGCTTTTGTCATTTTGTTTAAATGTTCAGTCTTTTTGCTCTAGTATCCTCTCTACTTAGTTACAGCGTCTGTTAGTAGCTAGTGGTGCTGTATTCTACCAAGATGCCTTTGAATAATAATAAAAATGTACATTTGTAAATTATTGTCCTCTTCTGTGACCACTTGGTTTGATTAGTTGAACTGAAGACTGCATGAGGAATTTCTGAAGGTTCTCTTATGGCCTCTCAGATCAGATACCATGCTAGAGTATATTACAAACAGATGTGGTACAACTGCGTGTGGAGCTTTTGTTTGTAAAGTTTCACCAGTCATCCGTTTGTACACATTACAAAGCTACCTGTTTTCTCTCTAAAACATTTGTGATAATAAACCTTTATTGTTTTTTTTTCTTACCATTCATAGCTTATGTTGTGTTAATTATATCTGCACAACATAATGTGTAAAATTGAACTGCCATGAAGCAATAATTGTGATATATCTGTTGGTGCTGTTTTGCTTACAGCTAATAGCGATTGCAACTGGGGGTAGAATAGTCCCACGGTTTGAGGAACTGACCCCTGAAAAGTTGGGCAAAGCTGGGATTGTACGGGAGCTGTCTTTTGGAACCACCAAGGAGCGAATGTTGGTGATTGAGGAGTGCCACAACTCCAGAGCTGTCACCATCTTCATTCGTGGAGGCAACAAAATGGTAATTACAACTGTTGTGTCCCTTCAGGTTCAGTTATAATGCTTTATCTGACTCATCTGTTACCTCACAACTAAATTCTCTTTTATTCCATCTTCGTGGTAATTCTCTACCACACAACTTGTAAGTCATTCTTCCTCATTTTCTTGTCCTCTTTTTGAGGTGATATTGGCTTTTGATGCTGTGTCTTTTTGTGTACACTTTTTTGTACTTCCATTCTCCTTTAGGATCACTGTAGACACATGAATTTTCTACCATTGTAAGTCATTGAGATTATCAACGTGTTATCAGTGTTCCTGTATCTGGGCGAAATGTATGCAAATGATATATAGTTTGGCTTTAGTTAGAATATTGTGGTCTTGTTTGTAATCTGTATGGCATGAGGAATTCCTGAAGGTCTGTCTGTTGGCCTGTCAGATCAGACACTATGCTACAGTATTAAGTCGATGGGATGTCTTACTTTGTGGTGTTTTTTTCTCTCTGGAACTCATCGCACTTCCTTCTGCACATATCTAGATTTCTGGATTGTTAAAATGTAGTACATGGTTTGTGTGTTAACCATGTGATGTTAATTGGCCAGCATCTTAAAACAAATAGCAGTTTCTTTCTTTTTTTTAATGTTTATAAGTGTATACAAAAACTTTACACTTTGCATAAAGGTCTACCCTGGCTGAAATAATGAGGTCAGTATAGATAGGATCAGCAGGTAGCAGGTCCTTTCATGAACACTGCTGCTTCCATTTTGGACTAATCCCCTCTACTGTGACTGAGAATCTTGTGTCCCAGAGGCAGTCTCTGCCATGAAGTTTTTTCTCTTTTCTTCAAAGATAGTTGTGTATCATTTACAGGATGTTGCAGAACCAGCCTCAGCACTTTTTGGCTGTTTGTGATTTCATTAATGAGAGTAGTTTACTGTAGTTTGCCTTTGCTTTCTAAGCTTTTAGCTCTCCATACTGCTGTCTCAACCCAATGCAAGGCAGTCTAGTACCAATGTTGATTTTATCATACCATAAATGCAGTAAGTCAGAGTGGTTAAACCACCCAACTTACTATGCATATGTACTGGCTACCTCATCCGAGAGATAACTTTAGCTGCAGTCTTATACAAGTCTGCAAAAGGCTTGTTGAAATTTGTTCGGGGGGAGTGGATGTAAACTCCTACGCGTGGAATTACTGATGCTGACAAAATTTGTATGTTATGATAGTTATCTGATGTGATTTGTGTCTCCTTTGTACCTGATGTGTAAAAAGTGTCCCAGGCATGAGGAATTCCTGAAGGTTTATCTATTGGCCTGTCAGATCAGACACCATGCTTACAGTATAACTCAGCAGATGGGATGTCTTACTTTGTGGTTCGTTTCGTTCTGGAGCTGTCCACACTTCCTTCTGCACACGTAACCAGACTGATCTATGTCAACAGCTTATGTAAAGTGCTGGCGGATCTATGTCAACAGCTTATGTAAAGAGCTGGCTGATCTATGTCAACAGCTTATGTAAAGTGCTGGCTGATCTATGTCAACAGCTTATGTAAAGAGCTGGCTGATCTATGTCAACAGCTTATGTAAAGTGCTGGCTGATCTATGTCAACAGCTTATGTAAAGTGCTGGCTGATCTATGTCAACAGCTTATGTAAAGTGCTGGCGGATCTATGTCAACAGCTTATGTAAAGTGCTGGCTGATCTATGTCAACAGCTTATGTAAAGAGCTGGCTGATCTATGTCAACAGTTTATGTAAAGAGCTGGTTTGTCTCCAGGAGTGGAGATAATTGGATGTGTACGTACAGCTTTTTTTGGGTATTTGTCAGATTGTTGACGAGGCCAAGCGTAGTCTGCATGATGCTCTCTGTGTCATCCGCAACCTGATCAGGGACAACAGAATTGTCTATGGAGGTGGAGCCCCAGAGATTGCTGCCTCACTGGCTGTACAAGAAGCAGCTGATAAGGTGAGATATCAGTGTTGTGAGAACATGACTTGTTTTGTGTATGTGTAAAGGGTTACATAAAAAGCATGTATATTTTCAGGTGATTGTTTATGTGGTTAGTGGAAGTAGCTGTAAATACATGATTGTTTATGTGGTTGGTGGAAGTAGGTGTAAATACTTGAGTGTTTGAAGACCTTTTGATTGTTGTTAAATGCTGTTCTGCCTTTGCTTTGAACAGATTTCCACACTTGAACAGTATGCTGTTCGCTCGTTTGCTGAGGCTTTGGAGAGTATACCATTGGCCCTGGCAGAGAACAGTGGGCTGTCCCCCATTCACACGCTGGCTGAAGTCAAGTCCAGACAAGTGAAGGAAAACAACCCCTTCCTAGGCATTGATTGTCTGTACAAGGGAACCAATGGTAGGTTTCTAATTGAGTTTAAAGGTGCTTAGTGAAGGTTAGTCATTTCTGTCATCCATGAGTGGTGAAGTCTAATTTAGGGAAAGGTTGTCTCATGGAAGATACTGTCTTGTTCTCTTGATAGCAGCGTTTCCTTTGGAATTTACAGAAAGTTAACCGACCATTTTGCTGTAAACAAAAAGTTCTGGTTGTTAGTCCACCCTCACACAAAAGTTTTAGGGTGGAACCCACCTGGCAGATTTGGAAAATTGACCTAGGCTCCCAGGTTGTCTCATTTTTTGTAATAATATTGAATGTGAATTTCGTGTTTACGTGGGTCGAGGGGGGTTGTGTGTTCATTTTATTGTTTAGTTTTTGGCTAATCTCGTCATTTTCTTTCTCTCTTAAAAAAACAAAACATGAACTGTCCTTGTCAAACACACGTCTGGAATCAAACAGGTGTTGTCCAGTAGAAGAGTTTGGTTCTGTCCTCATAGTTAAACTGTTAGGTCACGTGACTATTGTGAACGTCAGTTGATTAGACCAACTATGTATTGAGAGAGACCTTCTGTTTTTAACTGAATTTTGTGTGTGTGTGTGCTTTGTTGTATATTGTAGTAACACACCTAGCAAGATACTACACAATAGGCCTGGCAATAAATGATGCAATCTATTGTATGTGTCACATGTCAGCATTATTCACATTTACTAAAGATGGTTCTAAATAAAATTGACTGCCTAATTATTATTATTGTGTACTTTCTCTGACAAGTGGTTGGTTAATTGATTGTATTTCCTCTTGTTTTGCAGACATGAAAGTTCAGAAGGTGATTGAGACTCTGACTGCCAAGAAACAACAGATCTTGCTGGCATCACAACTTGTCCGCATGATTCTCAAAATAGATGACATTAGAGCACCAACCGACCGCGCCATGTAATTTATTGATTTACAGGAAAGGAGGAAAGGAATTTTTTTTTTAAAGTGTCTTAAGCTTTCCTGCCAAGTTATTAAATTGTGTGTTTCTGAATGTGAGCGAACGTCCCGTATTTTTCGTATGCATGATAATGGAAAATTAATTCCAAGGGTAGTTTTTTTTCTTCAATTTCCAAAGATATTTACTTGTCAGTTTATCAAGCACAGATGGACGAATGCTCACTGTGTGTTTGGAATTTTTGGAAACTGCCCAGTCTTGTTTTGTGTACTCCTGTGGTGTTTGATCTGTGCTGATGAAGGCTCTGTAGCCACATTTGGTTTATATCTTTCCATATTTTTATAAATTGCGAGCTGTTGCTGAGCCAGAAATTTGCAGCAGTTATTGGAGCTTGTACCAGTAGCCCAGCAGTCAGAGACATGAAGGGCCCTGCTTTGTAACGCCAGAATTCACTTCCAGGAAGTTTTGTGTGTGAGGTGAAACAAGTTGAGTACTTGCCTAATTGACAGAACAGAAACTGATAGTGTATAGGAAGATGACACGCAGGTGGTTGAAAACAGCCTTTATGTAAACCAGGGTGAATGAACAATGTGTTTAGTGGCCTGCACATGGGTCAGTTCCTGAATCACACCAGCTTGTGCTGCGGCACCAGATGTGTTCGCTGGGCAGCTTTATCCAATTTCAGCTTGCTTTTTTTTATAATCATGTGGACTCCTATGGCATGGTGACCAGTCTGCTTGAATGATAGATTGGCAAACAAAACTAGTATGTTGTGTGGTTCAATGTTTGTGAAAATGACATTTGCACATTTCAGTATTGTAAGTCTGATTTGACATCTTGTGTGCTGCAGTTGAATTTTTCTCTCTTTGTTTTTTACCCCCAAAAAAAGTTTTTTTTAATGAACTGTTTAAAATAAAATGGTTTTTTTTTAAACATTCCCTGTTGTGTTGTTTCCAGGGCTTGATGTGTGGGTACACACTGGCATTCATGTTGTGTTTGGTGGGTTGTGAATGTAAATATCTGAGCCACTTGAGTTATGAAAAAGAGGCAGCCGGATGTTCACGGGTGACTAAACACTTTTAGAACGAGAGTATGGTAGTTCTGAGTCACTTTCGGTTAAAGTGTAAGTGTTTAGATGTGTGTACAAATTGTTCAAGTCCTATGGCCTTGTGTGTGGCAGTCTTATTCTTCTGGAGCTCTTAACCAATCCAATGAATGTGTTTTTCTAGAATAGACTTGTCAGACCCTGTGTGTTGAGATTGGCAAAGTTGTGACTGTGGCATGCTAGTCTTCAGGTGCTACAGAAGTTGATGCTGGAACATTCACTCATGCCTCTCTGGCAGTCTGTATTAACTACAGGACTCCACTGACCACGGTTAATTTCACCAAGTGGTGTATCTAAATTGCATCTTCAGGCGGCGGGGTCTCAGAGGGAGAGCTGTCATTGGATTGTCACTGCACATCACTTAGGTTTCAATTAAAATATGTTTTAAAAAATCCAAGCTGGATTTATCAGGCAAAAATGGATTGAAATACTAAGCACTTCATGAATATCTGTCCTAACCATCTTTGTGCCAGGTCATGCAGGAGTGCAAGGAAATAAGTGTGCAGACTATCTTGCTGCCACTGCAGTTGCTATGGCTGGACAGAAGTGATGTTAATCAATGCCATGCGCTGCACTTGCCGTAGCAAAAGCACGCCAAAGGACACGACTCCATATCCCTGTCTAGACTGATGGAAATTAACATAATACAGAACAGGTGTCATCAGTGGAGCTTATGAGGAGGAGATCCAAGCACCTGTGGATCTGTCCGGAGTGCTGTGATGATAATCCTTTCCAATCACTTAGGTGTATCTGCGTGGGTCACCCCTCGAAGCCACCTAAACATAGCTCGCCATGGTGTTTTGTCCACATTTTAGAGACTGATGATGTGAGCGTATTTGGCAGGAAGTTATCTGACAGTGTGATCACCACTTCATTCTCATCATAATGTGTTCGTACATAATAGACTGATAGCACTATAAGATGTGGGTTGGGTTGGCCTTCCTGTATTGTAGGGGCAGCTATGGTTCCTTGTCTGAGGGATACCTGTGATGACTGACATTTATAAACATTGCCCCTAGATACTCGGCAAGTGTACGATGTCCCCTGATCACATTTGTCAGTGACAACCCTTTCCCAGATCTCTCAACTTGTGTGTACAGTTTCTCTTTCACACAATCTTAACCTCTTCTTCTTCGCGTTCACCAGCTGTACACTCTGGTGGAAAGTTCTGGTTGTTCGTCCAACTCTGAACTGCAGTCCTGCTCCAGAACCTGAGTGTTGCGTGTGCATCAGTTTTAAAGATCTGATTCACTTGAACCAGACTGTTGGATCCTTGCCTCTCAGGCAGATGCACTCCGACTTCAAAGGAAGCTCCCCAATTAGTTGACTCTTACGACATGCTTTTGGGTAGGCAGAGTGTCTATTCTTGTTTTTCCCACAATGGGACCCCGGAACCCACACGGGGAAATCTTAACTTGTATGTACTGTTTCTTTCTCTTTCACACAATCTTAACTTGTATGTACTGTTTCTTTCTCTTTCACACTACTGAACAAAACATGTTTACACCTTTTTAAAAAGCACTTTTATTACAAGGAAAAGAATAATCTTAACATTATGGTGAGGCCTGCCTGCGGTCATGAGAGCTCAGCCTGATCGCAAGACATGTTTCCATTTGGCTGGAATTTAAGAACCACTGAAATAAACAAAACTGCTGTTAGCAGGATATCTTTCAAAGCTTGTCTGACATGCGATATACTTGGGTGAACTACAACCTCCTCAAGTCTTCGGAACGATTTATTATTTTCTTTTGTAATCACCCTTGCAACTGTGATGTATGGTACATGTCGCAGGAGGAAGGTTGGCGTCGGACTAACTTGCAACTTAAAAAACTAGCCAGTCCAAGTGGTTAGTCAAGGAGCAAAGTTCCCCTCCAATTTCACTTTTGTCACAGCAGGTTTTTTCCTGGCTGAATGCGGTATAAAGACAATTTTGAGTGAGTGCTGACACTCTTCCCCCCCCACCCCCCCCCCCCCCCCCCCCCCCCCCCCATCCCAAATGATGACATATCCATTAAGTACTGAGTAGTATATAATAATAGAGGTCTCACTGTGTGTACCCACTTCACATTGAGGTAGGAAAATTCTTAACTTTTACTGGGAATGGAACTGCGGTAGTCATGCTGCATGACTTGTTTCTTCTTCTGCTTTCATGCCCCTTTACATATAAGTGATATTTGTGCCTTTTGACCGACATATCCGACTTCTGCAGGCATTCACCATCTGGGTTTGCTTTCCCGGTTAGCTAACTATTTTGGGAGCCCCCCCCCCCCCCCCCCCCTTTTCACCACTTTGTTGACATCAAAACCAACTCAACAGAATCTGCTGTACTCTCTACAAACAAAAAGCTGCTTTTTATAGACAGTAATGTGCCACCTCACTGAGAAAACAGGAGAACAGCATAACTAGAATGTCTTTGCATTGGAACCCACAGGGGCATAGGAATAAAGGAAGGCCAAAAAACACACGGAGAAGAGAGCTGGAGAATGAGGTTAGAAAGATTGGGAGGACATGGAGAGAGCTCCATGTAATGGCGAAGGATAGAACGACTTGCCGTGAGTTGGTTGAGGGCCTATGCTCCATTGGGGGATAAAAAGGCAGAAGAAGAAGAATGTGCCACCTGAGAACTGAGCACATATGACCAATGTGATGCTGACTGTCACAACTTAACCCAGTTGTGAAACTAGGTACAACTGTACCTCATTTCAAACGTACTCAGCTGTGGAGTATAAAACAATGCTGTGCCACCTCCACAATAAAGGATGGCTACAGTGCTACCCCACTGGTTTCTTTAGGAATGTTCCATGATCTGACTTGTACTACTGTTAAAAAACCATGAGAACAGTTTTTTAAAAGAACCATCCATCGAGAAAATCATATGCCAGCACTACAGGATTATGAAATTGTTGAATGCATCGTTAACCTTTACTGACAACATCGACACTTACACAATGATGTTGTTGATGGGGATATGGATCAGCTTGACGAAGAAGCCAATGAAGCCCATGATAGCAAACCCAATGGCTGTAGCCATGGCAATCTTCTGGAACTCTGGGAAGGAAATCAGCACATGACAACTGTAAATACCACAGGGGAAAATAGTAAACTTATAATTCTCAGTAATTTATCTGCTTGGTTACAGTGGTCTGTAAATGTATCCAGGGTTAGTACTCTGCATGGAACTAGCCAAGATCTTTTTTCCTTGGAAGAACTAGTACCATAAATATTTTTCTATATCTATTCATATATATTCTTCTTCTTCTGCGTTCATCCGAAGATGTAATTGCGTTGTGTCCGTTTACAGCATGGCTGCGATATTTGCACCTTTCGGCCAACACATCCGACTTCTGCGGGCATTTGTAGACCGGGTTAGCCTTCCCGGTTAGGACATGGCAGTCTCATTGTTGTGTGGTCATCTTTATTTCCCAGGTCACAGGTGGATTCATATATATATAGAGGGAGACAGACAGACGCACACACACTCATTCTCTCTCTCTCTCTCTGATCAGTTTAGAGCCTTTAGACTCCACCCTCAGTACAGGCACAGTTGGTGATAAACTGGGGGCCACATTCATGGAAACAGAACAGATTTGAGCAGGATATGAGGATTCTTTGGCTGTCCAGAAGTGTAACATGATGAATGAATCAATCAAAAACTTGATATCAATGTACTCAAGACATTCCTGCACGTGCTCCGTCCCCTTCTTCAGTAGCCAGGGAAGAGCCGACAGGCTACTAGTACCAGTTGCAACCTGATTAAAAGTCCACCTGTTCTCCTTTAAAGCTAAATATCGCCCGGAACCTCTTTACACCTCTCACAGAATTAGTCTTTTAATGTATGGATTCTGTTGTACTACTGCGCTGACCAAATGATCCCACAGGGCATTAACCACAGCTATATCAT